CCCTTCTCCCCTCTCCCCACCCCCTTCTCCCCACCCCCACCCGACCCCCCGCACCCCTCCCCCTCTCACCCTCCCCCACCCCCGACAGGTCGTACGTGATCACGACCCCCCGCCAGTGGATCACCGGCGAGACCAACCAGGTGTGCGTGAACGTGCAGAACGAGGCCGCTCCGGCAGGATTCGTCGCGCTGGCCCTGACGACGACGGTGCGGGAGACGCCGAAGGAGGAGAGGAACGAGACCATCCTGCCGGCGATCACGTTCCAGGTGCCGGCGGGTGAGTTGGGGGGGAGGAGGGGAGGAGGAGGAGGAAGTGACAGGAGGGGGCAGGAAGGTTATGGGGTCTGGGGAAGGGGATGGGGAGCGGGAGGAGTGATAGGAGGGGGAGGGGTAAGGGAGGGGAGGGGTAATATACATATCAAGGGAGGGGGAGGAGGTTATGGGGGTCGGGAATGGGTAGGGGAGGGGAAGGGTAATATATATTAAGGTGCGGTTGCATGGCCTACAGATTTCGTTGGGATCTCTAGGCTATCAGTGAGCTGGAACCCAACCATCCTTGTTAGTTACACTATTGCGGGGAGAACCATCGGCCCAGTCCAGTGGAATTGCCATATCAAAACAAACAGCGCAATGGACGTTATCTGTATCTGGGAAAGGTCAGTAGCAACTCGAGGTGTCATGGCGTCTGCTTATTTTGATGGCGTCACTTTGACGTCACGTTGCTTTGTGAATATGGTCGATCATTTTCATCATCATCATCGTCATGGAGCTACCGCCGACGGGGGCGCATAGCCGCATCCACCCTTTGTTTGTACCTACGAGGGCCCCTCATGACAAGCCGCCAGGCAGGGACTCGGTCCATCTCGAGCTACTCACAACAGGTTTGATCGATCTGCCCAAGCCACGACTTCCTAGGTCGTCCCGCAGGCCTCCTCCACCCAGGGATGTCTCGTACAGAGACAACCTTGTGGGCAGGATCATCCTGAGGAAAGCGAGCCAGGTGGCCGTATAGCCTTTGCTGGCGATCCCGGATTGCGCAGATAACAGGTCCTGCGCCAGTCTCACGGTGCAACCGTTAGTTGGACACATGGTCCCGCCAACAGTACCCCATGATCCGGCGCAAGGACTGATTGCAAAGGGCATCAAGACATGACTCCAAGACGCAGGATAGTGTCCAGGTTTCACTACCGTATAGTAAAACTGTCATTATCAGGGCCTTGAAGACGTGTAGCTTGGTCCTTCTGCACAGGTACCGGTATCTCCAAATACTCTTGTCGAGAGAGTTCATGACCTCTGCTGCCAATCCGTCTACTGACATCTTGGTCTGACAGCCCAGAGTTATGAACTACACTACCAATGTATGTAAAGCTCTCTATGACTTCAATGTCCTCGCCGGAAGCACGTAGCAACCGAGCAGGTTCTCCTAGCAAGTCCAAAGTCCTGTCGTCTGTTTGTTTTGATGACGTCACAAAATTTACATGGTCGATCATTTTGGTCTTTTCAATTTTCAAAAAAGATGGGAAGAAGCCAAAGACCTATATTTTACTTAGCTTGAAGAAATTAATCATACCTACTTTTATTAATACCTCTTGCACTCAATGAATGAATGAAAGGTGTTTTATTTAATGTTTAGGATACCAGCCCGGGATATTTTTAGAATAGCACATGTGCATGTTTACATTTTGTACAATATCAACAGTGTTAAAGTTTCAATGTCTTTTCAGGCGTTTTTGACTATAAAGTTTTGTTGGCCTGGTATGCTACACATTAAATTAATACCTTTAATTCATTCATTGGGTGCATGGAGTTGTTAACAAAAGTAGTTATACTTAATTTCTTCAAGCTAAGTAAAATATAGGCCTTTAGCTTGACTCCCATTGCGAGCAATTCTACTTTAGAATCATGCATAAACTTAATCTCTCTCTCTCTCTCTCTCTCTCTCTCTCTCTCTCTCTCTCTCTCTCTCTCTCTCTCTCTCTCTCTCTCTCTCTCTCTCTCTCTCTCTCTCTCTCTCTCTCTCTCTCTCTCTCTCTCTCTCTCTCTCTCTCTCTCTCTCTCTCTCTCATCAAACCGTCCCATTCTTTTCTCTCCATCTCAATCTATCAATCTATCTCTGTTCTCTTAGCCACCAGTCTCTCTCTCTTATTTATCCACCAATAAGTCAATTTTTCTCTACCAATCCACATATCAATCACTCACTCTATTTATCTACCTATCTATCTATCAATCACTCTATTTATTACCTATCTATCTATCTCACTCTACCTATCTATTCTCAATCTATCTATCACTCACCCTATATATCTACCTATCTATCTATCTAATCACTCTACTTTATCTATCTATCAGTTTATCCTACCTATCTATCAATCACTCTGTTTATGTATCTATCTATCACTCACTCTATCTATCTATCTATCTATCTATCTATCTATCTATCTATCAATCCCTCCTACCCTTGTCAATCTACCAACATGTCCGCCCTATCCATCCCCTTTCTCTTGCCAGGCCGCGTCGAGACCTGCTTCGAGGTGACCCTTCCCCAAGCAGACCACTTCGACGCCAAGCTGAGCGTCCGTGGGCGTGCGGGCGGGGCGGACTTCGAGGACACGAGGGACATCAGGCTGCAGAAGAGCAGGAACCTGACCTTCGTGCAGACGGACAAGTACCTCTACCAGCCGGGTCAGGAGGTCAAGTTCCGCGTCCTGACGATAAGAGGGTGGAGGGCGACGGTGGCGACGGATCCGGTGAGTGAGGGGGGGGAAGAGGGGGAGGGGGAGGAGGGAGGGGAGGGGGGGGAGTGGTGGAGTGGAGGAGGAGGATGGGAGGTGGATGATGGGCGAAGGGGAGGGGAGTGGGGTGGAGGATGGGCGGAGGGGGAGGGTAGAGGTGGAGGAGGGGAGGAGGTGAAGGGAGGTGGGAGGTGGAGGAGGAGGATGGGCGAAGAGGGAGGGGGAGTGGGGAGGTGGAGGAGGGGGGTGGGGAGGTGGAGGAGGGGGAGGGTGGAGTGGGAGGGGAGTGGGCGGTGGAGGATGGGGAGGGGGGGGGAGGCGATAAGTGGAAGAAGGGAAAGGTGGTGGAGGAAGAAAGGTGATAGGAGAAAGGAGAGGTGTTGGGGGAAGTGGGGGGTGTGGTGGAGAAGGAGTAATAGTGGAAAGAGGGTTCAAGAGATGAATATTTAGAGAATGAGAGAGAGAGGAGAGAGAGAGAGAGAGAGAGAGAGAAGAGAGAGAGAGAGAGAGAGAAGAGAGAGAGAGAGAGAGAGAGAGAGAGAGAGAGAGAGAGAGAGAAAGAGAGAGAGAGAGAGACAGAGACAGAAACAAAGACAGAAAATGGAGATAGAAAGACGCACACACAAACACATCCACACACATACCCACACACCCATCCACACGCATACATAAAATACAGGAAATGCCAACAAGCACAACCAAAAGCCCAGAAAAAAAAATCATACTTCAGAGGTAATAAAACATACGATTTCTAGAATTATATATAAAAAAGTTTCCCCTAAACATGTAAACAGCTTTCACCAAGTCATGAAATCTAGTAAGATTATGAAAGCAGCAGATCTAGACGAAAGTAATGCTGGTTTATGAAAGTAACAGAAAGGATTATGTCAATAACGAGAGCACAACACACATAAAAACATTAAAATCATACATAAAGAATTAGAACAATGAAATAACAACATAAATCAAAATGATAATAGATATAATACGAACAACAGTAATAACGATAAAGAAGATACAAACACACACACAAAAACGAAAGTAGAGTAAAAATAAAAATTAGAAAAAAAAAAATGAAAATCGCGAGGTGTCTACTTTCCATGCATCAGCTGTTCATTCTGCCGGTCATCATAGAAGTCATCATTATCATCATCATCATCATGAGAACGGCTGGAAGATGCTTCTAGAATATTTGCCGCGTCATTGCTATCGCCTCTCACAAACTGGGCCCCAGTTTCACCCGAACACAGCTGGTGTAGGGAAATGCAACGCAATGAACGCACACACAACACACACGCGACACACACGCACACACACACGCACACGCACACGCACAACACACACACACACACGCACACGCACACGCACACGCACACGCAACGCACACACACCACACACACACACACACACACACACACACACACACACACACACCACACACACACACACACACACACACACACACACACACATATATATATATATAATATATATATATATATATATATATATATATATATAATATATATATATATATATATATATAATCCCACGAACTGCGTTACTAAACATCGTCCTTTTTTCTCGATTTATATAAGATTCGCATCCTTTTCCATCCTTTTCTAAGAAACCTCGACATAGTAAACAGTTGCATTATCATTGGACGTGCAAATGGACAGCAAAAAGGTTCAAATTCGAGTTTTAACTGTTTTTCGAAAGACCCCGAGAGAAGGAGGCTTTGGCTATCAGTCGCAAGTGATGTAAGAGTCTGTGCTAATGGTACGACAAATCTTTCTAAAGATTGTTTAAAAATTTTCTAGGGGATGTATTTCCCCGTGGTTAGGCATAGGCCTAGGCGGTGGTAGATGTTGTGGGTGACTGGCTACTATTGGGTATCTTCTTTCACTTTAAGTTTCAGTTTATTTGGTTTTAAAACTTTTCCTGAACAAAGGTCGTAAGACATTAAATGGGAACAAAATGAAAATAGTAAATCTAATGATTGCTACACTGCCCTCTCAACAACAGGAAATTTGCTTAAATCTTTTCAGGGTATCATGATGAGTATTGCGTGGGAATGTAAGTTTATTCTTTTAGAAAAGTCTAGCTATAACGTCCGAAAAATATTGATAAAACCCCTGTTTTGAGCAACTTTTCGAAAAACCAGACCTAAAAAGGCAAAGATCGAGCAAGAAAGAATTTCATGTTTAGGGAAATTTAATCTTACGACTACGAACCTCTCTTATTATGAACAGTACTGAGTACTTACTTG